GGGCCTGCTTTTCTCTAACACCCAGTTTTTTTCTTCAACCCGATGGGCCTGCTCCATCACTTCACCCAAATCCTGGGCCTGTATAATACGCAACTCAACCCTGATTTCTTCTTTTAAACCATTGATAAAAATTCTCATCAACATCTCCTCTCCTATTTCCTTCAACGGAGCTGTATGAGCTTCAAATTCTTCACTGTACTCTGTCACCGACGCAGTCTGCCTTAGTGCTACTAATGCCTCATAGGCTGTTCCCTGAAATGATGGTCTGAACTTGTCAATTAGAGCCACTTTAAAATCCTTCCAACTCTGGACTAGTCTCTGGGATTCCAACCATTGATACCAGTTTAGGGCTCTTCCTTCCATGCACATGGCTGCTGCCTCCATCATTTCCTTCTCTTCGTAACAATTAATGGCGAAATATCTGTCGGCCTTGAAAGTCCAGCCAAACGGATCATCCCCATTAAAAATGGGTTGCTCAAGCTTGCGAATTTTTTTGTCATCTTTCCCACTCTGATTTCGTTCACATCCCTTATCTCTGCTGGAATTCTGATTTTTTGGAGTTTCAGACATTTTCTCCTGGTAATGTTTTTCCTCCCTTTCTTCCCTTAGCCTCATCAATTCTCTCATCTCTGTTAAGTATTCCTTAACACTACCCAATCAGCCTTCATGGCAGTTACCAAACGCTTGATCTGCCAATCAATAGGTAATGAATCAACCAGCTCAAGAAGTAGTTGTCATAGCCATACTCAGGACGTTCCAGCACCTAGTCTGCATTCAGTGAAATAAAAATTACCATCTAGCAATATGAGCATACCAAGGATGGCCTTTAAGATGAATTGAATTGCAGACTAATCACCTATTGTGTCTTTTAAACACAATATAAATGACTGAAGACCCGGCACCAACCCCCATTCAACAGGCCATTTACGAAACTGCAGATACCGTGTCTACAGACAAAAAATAATGATTAAAACTTGTCACTATTAAAGTTGTTCCCCATATTCAGTACACTGTTGTGTAAAACTTATACCTGCTCCACAAGTGAGAATAGACAAGCCAAGCAATAACTAGGTTTTGAACCCTTTGCACATCGAATAGAGCAAACTTCAACATAGAGTTCCGCTGAAGAGAAAGCTGTATCCACAAATAAAAGAATATATAACAAAAGAAACAATGCAAATCTGCAAAACATTACATGGTTCTTCTAAGAAGGGGAAGAGAAAAAAGAATTTGTCCACATAGTTTTTTCAAACCTTATGCCTACTACAGAAGTTTTCTCATCAATTAGTACTAGTTGTTACAAATGCATGACATCTACTCAGAGTGAAAGTCAACAAGCAGTGAAACCAAGTCATGGTTGTCTTTGTGATCCTGTACGCACAATCTACAAGGAATGGCTGTCAGTCATTATCCTAAAATAAAATCCCTCAACTATTTTCGTACAGGGTAACAATAAAGTTGAACTTATGTGCATTCTTTGGTTTCAGTTAATGTCATTTGTACACGGCAGCTTATTTTCAATGCCCAACACTTCTTTCTACCAAATCTTGGATGTTTTAGCATACCATCAGAATACCTTGTACCAATTTCTACAAGAAGCCACAAAATCAAAGGAGATCGTTCAAAATGTTATATCAGGGAAACAAGAGAAGACATCATGGCCTCAAAATTATGCTAACCTTTGCCATCACAGCCTCAAGCTTGGAAAAGCTTTCTGTTCTTCTTCAGTAGTGCATCATCATCCTCCACCTCCCCAAAAGCTGATCTCATCAATAGATACTCCTTTTTCAAATATATCCTGCAATTGACATTTAGAGGATCCTGACAGGAAACCAAACAAGTAAGCATATATAGTACCTGCAGAAGTCCGGGAGCATCTTCCTCATTGCTGTTTCAACTGAATCCCTGCAATTTTTAATTGTGAGAAAAGAGAGAAGGGATAACCTAGAACAGAAGAAAAGAAATTGTAGAACATATAGACATGAAAAACATGTATTACGCGTCTTCTTTTTTTTCTGTGGCCGGTTCCCCTTATAGGTTCAGCGTCTGAGAGTACAAGTTTTTCTGAGGGCTGGAATACGAAAAATTAAAACCAGAATTCTCTCCTGATGTCCTCAGCTTCAATCGATCTTGGAATCGCATATATCTACCCCATCACCATTAAGTTCAATGTTTCCCTTTCACTCTTCACTGGTTTTGCATTAAAAGAATATTCATTTAACACATTCCTTTTGGGGTGGGGCAAGTCAATATTTTCTAATAATTCAACCTTGACTTTGACAGAGTTGGTGCTGAGTTGGAACATGCCACTACCAGATCCTGCCACATCATGCTGTCCACCACATGAACCGAAATCGACTCAGATTCGTCCATATTATACCTTGATTTAGTTTTCTTCAGTCACAAGGCTGCAGCCAGGTATAGTTGTAATGGATGATCCTGCATATTTAGTTCTGATGAAGCACTTACTGAACTTGTCCGGACAAGAAGCATTTTTTGAAGATAGTTCATTATCACTCAACAGAGGACTCCAATTCCAGAGATTTAGTTTCTTACTTTTATTCTTCCAGCGCCAGGGTCAATAAGATCTCTGAACCTGTGAATTACCCTGCATAACAAAAGCAGTAATTTTAAGCATACATCGAAGATAAAAAAATAGAAAAATAATCAACGCAACAATTCGAGGCCAAAAGCTTGCAGCACACATAAACCCCATAAAGCAAGTAGACATGTATTCACGAAGTCCAAGCATGATGGAACCACCTGCTCAAATAACTCAATTCCAACACACACACACACAAGACCGAATGGAAACAACACTCAAAGAATTAAATGAAGTTAATATTGAAAAGAATGAAATAACATAGCAAGAAAGTGTTCCCAAAACAATTCCCAGAATTCGAGATTGGAGACCTCCCAAAACCTAAATGAATCAACTTGATACCTCCTTTACCACACCCTAGCTATTTATACCCAATTCCTTCCTATACTACCCTTCCCTAACAACTTTATTCTATCCACCACATGCATGAGAATCCCTAACAACTGAACAAACTTCACACACACCTTTTCCCCTTGCTGTACAACCCTCACTCCCCCCCCTTTCCTCCTTTAGTGCTCCCTTTTTATGCCCCCTTGACTTATAGATATATTAACAGGAGGTCCAACAACTCCCCCCTCCCACCCAGGAGAGCCACCTTGTCCTCAAGGTGGAATTGAGGATTGTGTGTTGATGACGTCGAAGGCTCCCATGTAGCTTCAAGGGGGGAGATCCTGCCATTGAATGAGACCTCTTTGGTGCCATCAAGTAGGGATTGCGTTGCAGGACTGCTTGGGGTTGAACTGTATTTACCTCTCTTGGTGAGAAAATTGGGAAGTGGCTGACTGGAACAAAGGTATGTATGTTGGATTTTGAGCTGGGACACATGGAACACCGATATGAATATGCGTATGGGAGATCCAGTTTGTAACATTCGACCAATTCTGTCACTTGAATGGTCCATAGAACCGAGGGCTGAGTTTCTCATTCAATTTCCTGGCCAACGACCGAACCTGTAGGCTGTATTTTAGGTACACAGAATCCCCTGGAGTAAAACTGATGTCTCTCGATGTTTTATCAGCCTGGCTTTCATTGTCCTGTGATTTCCAAGTGGTGTTTAAGTTCATAATAATGGCATTGGGTGGGTGAGCTGTTGGTTCACTTCTCCATTGAAACGGTAATCGTCATCTTGGAAGAGGGGGGGTGTCTCTCGCATAAAGGGCTTTAACGGTGTCATTTTTGTGGAGATGGTAGGTTGTTTTGTATCAAAACTCGCCCAGAGAGCAATTTGGCCACTGTTTAGGCTGAACTCAGAAGCTCGAAATAGGCCTCTACCACCGATTGACCACTTCCGTTTGGCCATCCGTTTGATGGTGGTATGCGGAACTGAACTTGAGAGAGGTCCCTACTGCGCCCTGAAAATTTCCTGCCAAAATTGGCTCATAAGAGTCGATCCGGTCTGAACATGGACTTGGGAAACCCGTGGAGCTTAACAATTTCCCTCATGAATATCGTAGCAACTCTTGCATTAATGGGTGAGCCAAGAGGATGAAGTGGGCGTATTTAGTGAGCCGATCAACCACCACAAGAATACTATCAAAACCTTTGCTTGGTAACCACCAATAAAATCCATCGTCATTCGTCAAAACTTGCTCCGTATTGGCAAGGTAGCAGCCTGCTGGCTTGAGGGCTGAATATTTATTGACTTGGCAGATAGTGCAAGCTTTTACAAACTCTTGAATATCTTGCCTTATCCCTTCCCAATACCACTGTTGACACCCGTTGTATGTTCTGAAAAACCCCGATGTCCCCCACCTGCTGGAATGGAATCTGCACAAAGTTTAGTATAAACCTGAGTTTTTTGGTAGGACTGTTTTTATCAAAGACACCCCTCTAAGTTTGTGTGTGGCGGCTGTTAGAATCAAAGAGAAGCCTGAATGATAGGTTGTAACTTGGGATCTGTGTGCTTCCTGGCTAACTCATCGTCCCTGTAAACTGGACTGAATGGTATTCAAATCTGTCCTTCCCCTCTCCGTGATAAAGCATCTGTACTGTGTTTGTTTTCCCCGCCAGTAGTGAATGTCGAAAAGTATCCCATTTTTTAGACACCACTTTTGTTGTTCGGAAGTTTTTATTCGCTGGTCCTGAGAAATTGTAGACTCTTTGGTCAGTCTTGATGTGAATTGTTTGCCCATAAGTATGGACTCCCCTTAGCACTGCAAAAACGATTGCCATTAGTTCCTTCGTATACAGACTTGTTTGTTGCTTGTGGTGAGAAGGCCTTGCTTAGATAACTATGGGTCTAACTGTGGCAGAACTGCACCCATTCCGTGACCTGAAGCATCCATCTGAATTTCAAAAGGAAGTGTAAGTTTGAGGACTGCAAGTAGGGAACTGTAGTCAACTTCCTGAGTCTATCAAATGCCCTTTGACGCTCCTCATTCCAACAGAATGCAATTAGATCCAATTAGATTTAGATTTTGAAGAACCATCCTTTACAAATTACAATCAGCCGAAAACACTCTCAAAGCAGCTTGACATTACACTGGAACACTACATTCAGAGCAATCTGAGAAATGGAATGGCAAATCTACCATATTGTAGATATTTACAAATTTCAGAGGCAAAATTGAACTGAACTCTCTCATGAAAGCTCCAGTTTAACTTTAGGGCTGTCACGATCCAGACTCGTAGTATTTTTGACAATGTTGCCTGGAATATTTGTCGAAACAATACTACCACCATTATAACCATCAATCAACAACTTTCCTATTTTTGATCTCCACTCAGAGGATTCCTTCTCATTCTTCCTATCATGGAAAACTCTGTCACGGTAGTTCAGCATTGTTCCCAACCCAGTATTCTGTATCCAACCAAATCCCATTAGCACCTTCGCCTCACCTTCGGTCAAGTCCTCTCCAACCTTTCATTGAAATTTCATATGAATAAGAAAGAAATTTAAACCAAAACATTAGGTTGACAAATAGATAATGTCTATTTAAATACATTAAACTGGAACTTCAGAGACACAATTTTGGTCGAGATTTCAGCACACGAAAAAAGCAGCATAAACCATCCAAGTGAGTCCTGATATTGTCAGATAAACATCTGGAATTCGAGCTTTCGATAGAGATTTTAGAGCGCCTTTTAAACTAGCGTGGTTTTTTTATTGCATGGAAGTTGGATAAACACATCATATTGCTATTCGATCATGAAATCATATCTAGTTCTCATGTAGTTGGATAAACCATCTATTTCTCTATAACCACTCCCACGTCTAGAAATATACGAGTACTATTACTCATCAACTAGAAGTCTCAAATAGATCACCCCTAAGCTATAACAAAGAGCCTTCCATTTGACTACCTCTAAGGTATTGGATGCTTATTAGTGAACAATTCCTTTACTACTAGAACTTAGAAAAGCATAGCATCTCCCTTGAGACTCAAATCTAACATATGACAAAAGCCATTAAACAACATCCATGACAAAACCATTGTTGGCTGAACTTATGCATATACAAATTGGCAATTATACTATATGAATAGACAAGGTTAACTTGCATGTTTACACATGACATCCCAATACCATAACTCCATAAGCATAAATGACTCACTCAAGACAGCATTAAATGCAATGAGATTACTAATAACAGGCAGCAAGATAATGGAAATAAATGAAAAACCATAGACAATTTTAAGAAACCAAAGAATAACACAACAGTAAATCTAGTTAGACCTAGTAGAAGTTAGTGCAGGTGGATTCTGAACACTCAACCCAAAATAGAAGAACCAACTCATCATAGCCGTTTATATTTTTAGGTATATATCAGATGGGAAACAAATGTTGAAATATACTTTAAAAAAAAACCACAATTTTTAACGTACATATTAGTGATTTTTTACCTACCATATGATAGATCACTTGAATCCTTTACGTCCCCTCTCAAGCTGAATTTCCTAAGAATGGTTGGGTGCACCTTCTACCTAGGTAACTTTCCATGCTTCAGAAGACGTATAGGTAATCTGAATACTATCTCTCATGAAGGTAAAAGTGTTCTCACAATTATGTGGTCTTCCTATGCTACTGTCCACAACAACCGACCAAAATATGATAGACTCCTAATAGAGTCACGTTCGACAAAACCCCATCCTTAAAAACATTTTCAAGAGAAATTCACCACATAATTGCTAGTGTCAAGGGAATTTCACCTCCCTCCTTAAACCAAGCTACCATTTACGAGTTAAGAAAATTGTCAGCCTGCAAGCTAACCTTTTGAGCAATCTCCTGGGAAACAAAGTTTTCAATATTTCCATTCTCAAGTAAATAGAATAGAACTATCCTCCAATAATACAAGTAACGAGGAACGATTTTCTTCAACCAAAAGCCAATAATGCAAGTAATGAGGAAACAACTGTCTTCAACCAAAAGCCACCAGAGGAAGCATTCAGACCCATCATCACACAATCAAGCACATGCAACATCTACATCTATTGCTGTCACTCAAGCAATTCTTCATTCACATAGGCTAAAATAAGACTGAAAATTGTTTTAAGTATGATATACATACTAATCTAGAAAACTTTAGGCATCCAATCCAATCTCTAGCATCAGACATAACCACAATTAAATTATAGAAGTTTATAACCAAACGCCTATAAGTAGGAGTCTGAGAATGAGATCACTTTATACAAAACTAACGTTTTGGTCAGCAAAGAAAAATTCCGAAGAATTGTCAAGCGCAGCTAAATGTTACATCAATCACAACAGATTCTAATGCGGTAATCTACTAGACCAATCAAAATATTTAGATCTAAATTTATGGGTTAGCTGAAATCAATTTAATAAGTAACTCAACTATTCCAATCAAAATTCCAGCAGTCAACTAGAAGGAAATGCACTGTAAGTCATTACCGATAATGTTTTGTTCTCGATTAGGTTGACTCTGCCACAGCTAGTCAGCTTCATGGCAGTTACCAAACGCTTGATCTGCCAATCAATAGGTAATGAATCAACCAGCTCAAAGAAGTATGTTGCATAGCCATACTCAGGACGTTCCAGCACTAGTCTGCATTCAAGTGAAAATAAAAATTACCATCTAGCAATATGATAGCATACCAAAGGATGGCCTTTAAGATGTAATTGAATTGCAGATTAATCACCTATTGTGTCTTTTAAACACAAATATAAATGACTGAAGATCCCGGCACCAACCCCATTCAACAGGCCATTTACGAAACTGCAGATACCGTGTCTACAGACAAAAATATAATGATTAAAAACTTGTCACTATTAAAGTTGTTCCCCATATTCAGTACACTAGGTTGTGGTAAAACTTATTACCTGCTCCACAAGTGAGAATAGACAAGCCAAGCAATAACTAGGTTTTGAACCCTTTGCACATCGAATAGGAGCAAACTTCAACATAGAGTTCCGCTGAAAGAAAAGCTGTATCCACAAATAAAAGAATATATTAACAAAAGAAACAATGCAAATCTGCAAAACATTACATGGTTCTTCTAAGAAGGGGAAGAGAAAAAAGAATTTTGTCCAACATAGTTATTTTCAAACCTTATGCCTACTACAGAAGTTTCTTCATCAATTAGTACTAGTTGTTACAAATGCATGACATCTACTCATAGTGAAAGTCAACAAGCAGTGAAAACCAAGTCATGGTTGTCAATTTGTGATCCATGTGACGCACAATCTACAAGGAAATGGCTGTCAATAAGTCATTATCCTAAAATAAAAATCCCTCAACTATTTTCGTACAGGGTAACAATAAAAGTGAACTTATGTGCATTCTTTGGATTCAGTTAATGTCATTTGTACACGGCAGCTTATTTTCAATTGATCCAACACTTCTTTCTACCAAATCTTGGATGTTTATAGCATATCCGTCAGAATACCTTGTACCATATATATTCTTACAAAGACGCCACAAAATCAAAGGAGAATCATTCAAAATGAATATATCAGGGAAACAAGAGGAAGACATCATGGCCTCAAAATTATTGCTAACCTTTGCCATCACAGCCTCAAGCTTGGAAAAGCTTTCTTCACTTTCATCTAGTACATCATCATCCTCCACCTCCCCATAAAGCTTGATCTCATCAATAGATACTCCTTTTTCAAATAATACCTGCAATTGACATTTAGAGGATCCTGACACATATTGCACAGGAAACCAAACAAGTAAGCATATAGTACCTGCAGAAGTCCGGGAGCATCTTCCTCCATTGCTGTTTCAACTGAATCCCTGCAATTTTTAATTATGAGAAAAAAGAGAGAAAGGGATAACCTAGAACAAGAAGAAAAAGAAATTGTAGAACATATAGACATAAGAAAAACATGTATTACGTGGCAGTCTTCTTTCTTTTCCGTGGACGGTTCACCCTTATAGGTTCAGCAGATTCTGAGAGTACAAGGTTTTTCTGAAGGGCTGGAATACTGAAAGAATTAAAACCAGAATTCTCTCCTGATGTCCTCAGCTTCAATCGATCTTGGAATCGCATATGATCTACCCCATCACCATTAAGTTCAATGTTTCCCATTTCACTCTTCACTGGTTTTGCATTAAAAGAATATTCATTTAACACATTCCTTTCTGGGTGGGGCAAGTCAATATTTTCTAATAATTCAACCTTGACTTTGACAGAGTTGTGCTGAGTTGGAACATGCACACTACCAGATCCTGCCACATCATGCTGTCCACCACATGAACCGAAATCAGACTCAGATTCGTCCATATTATACCTTGATTTAGTTTCTTCAGTCACAAGGCTGCAGCCAGGTATAGTTGTAATGGATGATCCTGCAATATTTAGTTCTGATGAAGCACTTACTGAACTTGTGCCAGGACAAGAAGCATTTTTTGAAGATAGTTCATTATACTCATCTCCAGCAACAGAGGACTCCACATCCAGAGATTTAGTTTCTTCTTTTATTCTTCCAGCACCAGGGTCAATAAGATCATCTGAACCTGTAGAATTACCCTGCATAACATAAAGCAGTAATTTTAAGCAATACATCGAAGATAAAAAAATAGAAGAAATAAATCAACGCAACAAGTCGAGGCCAAAAAGCTTGCAAGCACACATAAACCACATAAAGAAAGTAGACATGTATTCACGAAGTCAGGCTAGATCCAATTAGATTTAGATTTTGAAGAACCATCCTTTACAAATTACAATCAGCCGAAAACACTCTCAAAGCAGCTTGACATTACACTGGAACACTACATTCAGAGCAATCTGAGAAATGGAATGGCAAATCTACCATATTGTAGATATTTACAAATTTCAGAGGCAAAATTGAACTGAACTCTCTCATGAAAGCTCCAGTTTAACTTTAGGGCTGTCACGATCCAGACTCGTAGTATTTTTGACAATGTTGCCTGGAATATTTGTCGAAACAATACTACCACCATTATAACCATCAATCAACAACTTTCCTATTTTTGATCTCCACTCAGAGGATTCCTTCTCATTCTTCCTATCATGGAAAACTCTGTCACGGTAGTTCAGCATTGTTCCCAACCCAGTATTCTGTATCCAACCAAATCCCATTAGCACCTTCGCCTCACCTTCGGTCAAGTCCTCTCCAACCTTTCATTGAAATTTCATATGAATAAGAAAGAAATTTAAACCAAAACATTAGGTTGACAAATAGATAATGTCTATTTAAATACATTAAACTGGAACTTCAGAGACACAATTTTGGTCGAGATTTCAGCACACGAAAAAAGCAGCATAAACCATCCAAGTGAGTCCTGATATTGTCAGATAAACATCTGGAATTCGAGCTTTCGATAGAGATTTTAGAGCGCCTTTTAAACTAGCGTGGTTTTTTTATTGCATGGAAGTTGGATAAACACATCATATTGCTATTCGATCATGAAATCATATCTAGTTCTCATGTAGTTGGATAAACCATCTATTTCTCTATAACCACTCCCACGTCTAGAAATATACGAGTACTATTACTCATCAACTAGAAGTCTCAAATAGATCACCCCTAAGCTATAACAAAGAGCCTTCCATTTGACTACCTCTAAGGTATTGGATGCTTATTAGTGAACAATTCCTTTACTACTAGAACTTAGAAAAGCATAGCATCTCCCTTGAGACTCAAATCTAACATATGACAAAAGCCATTAAACAACATCCATGACAAAACCATTGTTGGCTGAACTTATGCATATACAAATTGGCAATTATACTATATGAATAGACAAGGTTAACTTGCATGTTTACACATGACATCCCAATACCATAACTCCATAAGCATAAATGACTCACTCAAGACAGCATTAAATGCAATGAGATTACTAATAACAGGCAGCAAGATAATGGAAATAAATGAAAAACCATAGACAATTTTAAGAAACCAAAGAATAACACAACAGTAAATCTAGTTAGACCTAGTAGAAGTTAGTGCAGGTGGATTCTGAACACTCAACCCAAAATAGAAGAACCAACTCATCATAGCCGTTTATATTTTTAGGTATATATCAGATGGGAAACAAATGTTGAAATATACTTTAAAAAAAAACCACAATTTTTAACGTACATATTAGTGATTTTTTACCTACCATATGATAGATCACTTGAATCCTTTACGTCCCCTCTCAAGCTGAATTTCCTAAGAATGGTTGGGTGCACCTTCTACCTAGGTAACTTTCCATGCTTCAGAAGACGTATAGGTAATCTGAATACTATCTCTCATGAAGGTAAAAGTGTTCTCACAATTATGTGGTCTTCCTATGCTACTGTCCACAACAACCGACCAAAATATGATAGACTCCTAATAGAGTCACGTTCGACAAAACCCCATCCTTAAAAACATTTTCAAGAGAAATTCACCACATAATTGCTAGTGTCAAGGGAATTTCACCTCCCTCCTTAAACCAAGCTACCATTTACGAGTTAAGAAAATTGTCAGCCTGCAAGCTAACCTTTTGAGCAATCTCCTGGGAAACAAAGTTTTCAATATTTCCATTCTCAAGTAAATAGAATAGAACTATCCTCCAATAATACAAGTAACGAGGAACGATTTTCTTCAACCAAAAGCCAATAATGCAAGTAATGAGGAAACAACTGTCTTCAACCAAAAGCCACCAGAGGAAGCATTCAGACCCATCATCACACAATCAAGCACATGCAACATCTACATCTATTGCTGTCACTCAAGCAATTCTTCATTCACATAGGCTAAAATAAGACTGAAAATTGTTTTAAGTATGATATACATGCTAATCTAGAAAACTTTAGGCACGCAATCCAGTCTCTAGCATCAGACATAACCACAATTAAATTATAAAAGTTTATAACCAAATGCCTATAAGTCGGAGTCTGAGAATGAGATCACTTTGTACAGAACTAACTTTTTGGTCAGCAAAGAAAAATTCCGAAGAATTGTCAAGCACAGCTAAATGTTACATCAATCACAACAGATTCTAATGCGGTAATCTACTAGACCAATCAAAATATTTAGATCTAAATTTATGGGTTAGCTGAAATCAATGTAATAAATAACTCAACTATTCCAATCAAAATTCCAGCAGTCAACTAGAAGGAAATGCACTGTAAGTCATTACCGATAATGTTTTGTTCTCGATTAGGTTGACTCTGCCACAGCTAGTCAGCTTCATGGCAGTTACCAAACGCTTGATCTGCCAATCAATAGGTAATGAATCAACCAGCTCAAAGAAGTATGTTGCATAGCCATACTCAGGACGTTCCAGCACTAGTCTGCATTCAAGTGAAAATAAAAATTACCATCTAGCAATATGATAGCATACCAAAGGATGGCCTTTAAGATGTAATTGAATTGCAGATTAATCACCTATTGTGTCTTTTAAACACAAATATAAATGACTGAAGATCCCGGCACCAACCCCATTCAACAGGCCATTTACGAAACTGCAGATACCGTGTCTACAGACAAAAATATAATGATTAAAAACTTGTCACTATTAAAGTTGTTCCCCATATTCAGTACACTAGGTTGTGGTAAAACTTATTACCTGCTCCACAAGTGAGAATAGACAAGCCAAGCAATAACTAGGTTTTGAACCCTTTGCACATCGAATAGGAGCAAACTTCAACATAGAGTTCCGCTGAAAGAAAAGCTGTATCCACAAATAAAAGAATATATTAACAAAAGAAACAATGCAAATCTGCAAAACATTACATGGTTCTTCTAAGAAGGGGAAGAGAAAAAAGAATTTTGTCCAACATAGTTATTTTCAAACCTTATGCCTACTACAGAAGTTTCTTCATCAATTAGTACTAGTTGTTACAAATGCATGACATCTACTCATAGTGAAAGTCAACAAGCAGTGAAAACCAAGTCATGGTTGTCAATTTGTGATCCATGTGACGCACAATCTACAAGGAAATGGCTGTCAATAAGTCATTATCCTAAAATAAAAATCCCTCAACTATTTTCGTACAGGGTAACAATAAAAGTGAACTTATGTGCATTCTTTGGATTCAGTTAATGTCATTTGTACACGGCAGCTTATTTTCAATTGATCCAACACTTCTTTCTACCAAATCTTGGATGTTTATAGCATATCCGTCAGAATACCTTGTACCATATATATTCTTACAAAGACGCCACAAAATCAAAGGAGAATCATTCAAAATGAATATATCAGGGAAACAAGAGGAAGACATCATGGCCTCAAAATTATTGCTAACCTTTGCCATCACAGCCTCAAGCTTGGAAAAGCTTTCTTCACTTTCATCTAGTACATCATCATCCTCCACCTCCCCATAAAGCTTGATCTCATCAATAGATACTCCTTTTTCAAATAATACCTGCAATTGACATTTAGAGGATCCTGACACATATTGCACAGGAAACCAAACAAGTAAGCATATAGTACCTGCAGAAGTCCGGGAGCATCTTCCTCCATTGCTGTTTCAACTGAATCCCTGCAATTTTTAATTATGAGAAAAAAGAGAGAAAGGGATAACCTAGAACAAGAAGAAAAAGAAATTGTAGAACATATAGACATAAGAAAAACATGTATTACGTGGCAGTCTTCTTTCTTTTCCGTGGACGGTTCACCCTTATAGGTTCAGCAGATTCTGAGAGTACAAGGTTTTTCTGAAGGGCTGGAATACTGAAAGAATTAAAACCAGAATTCTCTCCTGATGTCCTCAGCTTCAATCGATCTTGGAATCGCATATGATCTACCCCATCACCATTAAGTTCAATGTTTCCCATTTCACTCTTCACTGGTTTTGCATTAAAAGAATATTCATTTAACACATTCCTTTCTGGGTGGGGCAAGTCAATATTTTCTAATAATTCAACCTTGACTTTGACAGAGTTGTGCTGAGTTGGAACATGCACACTACCAGATCCTGCCACATCATGCTGTCCACCACATGAACCGAAATCAGACTCAGATTCGTCCATATTATACCTTGATTTAGTTTCTTCAGTCACAAGGCTGCAGCCAGGTATAGTTGTAATGGATGATCCTGCAATATTTAGTTCTGATGAAGCACTTACTGAACTTGTGCCAGGACAAGAAGCATTTTTTGAAGATAGTTCATTATACTCATCTCCAGCAACAGAGGACTCCACATCCAGAGATTTAGTTTCTTCTTTTATTCTTCCAGCACCAGGGTCAATAAGATCATCTGAACCTGTAGAATTACCCTGCATAACATAAAGCAGTAATTTTAAGCAATACATCGAAGATAAAAAAATAGAAGAAATAAATCAACGCAACAAGTCGAGGCCAAAAAGCTTGCAAGCACACATAAACCACATAAAGCAAGTAGACATGTATTCACGAAGTCCAAGCATGATGGAACCACCTGCTCAAATAACTCAATTCCAACACACACACACACAAGAGCCGAATGGAAATAACACTCAAAAGGAATTAAACTGAAAGTTAATATTGAAACAGAATGAAAATAACAGTAGCAAGAAAAGTGATCCCAGAACAATTCCCAGCAATTCGAGGAGCTGGAGACCTCCCACAAAACCTAAATGAATCAACTTG